TTACTGGACACCACCAAGGATGTATCATCAGCGTACATTGTTATGAATGAATCTGTGATGAAGTTATCGATTTCATTTATATAAAGAAGGAATAATATTGGACCTAGCACAGATCCTTGTGGTACACCTATCGTGACGTCCAAGCGCTCAGAATCAAAGGTAGTAGTGGTAGATTCACTATGATATTTCAAGCTAACAAACTGCTGTCAAAGTCCAGTCATAGGCAACACCTCATATACCATACGAATAAAGCTTTGACATGAGTTGATATTGATTGACACAGTCGAGAGCCCTGCTGAGGTCGCAGAATATCCCAACGGGGCATTCTCCTGATTCCAGAAGCTTTGAAACTATTTGGTAAATGAAATTATTGCAGTGTTTGTGGATTTGTTTGTGCGAAAACCATGTCGTTTATCTTAGAATATTCGATGTTTTTTAATGAATTTCAGTTACCTACCTGAATAGGAGTATTCATAAATTTTCGAAAAACCCGGACTTATCGTTATTGGCCTATAGTTTTCCAGTTTTTCTGGATCATGCTTTTCAAAAATTGGGATAACTTAGCCAACTTTCAATATTTTCGGAAATGATCCAGTTACAAATGACAGGTTAACAAGAAAGCTGAGTGTCATTATAATGAAGGGAAGATATTTCTTGATGAGAAATGACGAAACTTCATCTGGGCCGGATGAGTATTTGTTTTTGATTTTGTTGCTGAGCAAAAAAAGTAATTCCTCTGGTATAAAAGGCTCTAAGAAAATGGAATGCGGATTCGTATTTATGGGACGATGGTCCCATGCTGACGCATCGTGCTTACAATTTTTCGCTCGTGGGTAATTGCTTCTTATATCCTACTTGGTACGTAATATATTATTACCGGTTATTTGTAACAATTCTCGCTCAAAGCGACTGATGGTTCCGGAAATCGTTACAGCAGAAATAAAACACAACTCGATACCCATATCACTGCTACCACCCGAAAACTCAAATGAACAAGTGGGGTACAAGGTAATTTGCCAAGTACCAATCTATCAAAGCCTGCGACCACTGCAGTCAGTACCAGCAAAAAGCAGCGTTGACACAAAATAAGCGAGCGCATCAATTCCATCGTGAAATGTTTCACAACGTCCAGTTTCAAACGATAAGTGCGAATCATTAATGAAAAAAATCGTTCGTACAATTCAAAATGAGGTGCCTCCTCTCAGTTTTCTTTTTAATTTTCATATTTTTCGCAAACATCCAATGCAACATCAAATGGGACGGTGTAGTTAGTGATAGGGCAGAACTTTTCCACGACATTCTTCAAAGTAACATTTTCAACAAATCGAACGTTAGTTTTGTGCCAGTTGTGGGTTTTTCAGGAGTGAGCAAATCGAACAATAATTTGGAAGTTAAGGAACAATTAAGTGATGACGAGCGAGGAAGAGCGTGCTTGAAAGATATTACGGAATGCATGGAACAAGGTAAGCGCAGAGTTTTCATCAATGTGATTTTTCGATGGAAATTAGGGTCACTTGCCAACTACTCCAGATCCCGTTCATCGAACACACGTCGTTGTTATAGTCTGCAGCCTATAGTCTGCACACTCTCACAGACAGCGGCGATGTTTCGGCACCAGACCGTAAAATGGACGAAGCGCGCGGTACTTTGCCCGAACACAACACCCATTTTGATAAAGCTATTTTATTATTTGCAGATTGAATGAATGACAAATAATTTGACAGATGTAGCTTCAATAAGATGGCTGATATCAATTGTCAAAGTTCGGAAATCCCTGCTAGTAGACCTTAGTACTATTCTTATGATAGTTTTGGATATCAGGGCGTGGGAGCTTATTGAAGTAAGGGTCATGAAAAACTTTTGAGATTGTATAGGTATATACCGAACAGCTCAAAATTGATGCTAAAAATGCCAATCTTCCCCTTTTCAATGAAACATTAATTCTTATTATTGAACCGTGTTAGGAATCACACGTTAAAAGGTAAGACCTCGTTAGTCCTTAGCTCGCACAAGTTTCTCAACTTCTGAGAGTTGTCGTTTGTATGGGAGCGACAGCTGGTTAACGGAAAAACAGATTTAAACAGATTTTAAACAATTATTTCATCACTTTTTTTTCAATAACTGGTGCAACAAAACTCAAAAAAGGGCTTTTTCAAAAATATTTTATTTTTTCTTTCTAAAAGTCCGTCTTCTCAAAAGAATATTTCTAATATTGACTCTTCTTCATTCTCAAATAATAATTCGACACAGATATTGGGGATTTCAAAGCTTCAAATCAATTTGTATGAAGGACACGTATGATTTTTTTCTAGATTCCACGTTGTAACTAGTAAATCTGAATTTGAAATTTTCTGGTACTATCGACAATGAACGATTCTAGTTACAGCTTGTCAAATGCAAGAAAAGCTTTCAAAACTTTGATATGGTCCCATCGACTAATTGCGCATTCATTAGAAGACGGTGAGACTGACAGAGATAGAGAGAGAGAAAGGAAAACAATTCTGAAGTCTCTTTCCAAATTCGACAGGCTGTATGTAGTTTATTAAAAAATCAATGAATCAATACCTACGTAAAAGTACACTTCAATTACTCAACAGATAACTCCATTTACATGGCAATTCACATTTACAGTTAATACAATAAATTGATACAGAAATATATACATCAGAATATAAGAAAACTAAATATAGAAACCTGATTATTTACTATAATTCTCATTTTTGATGAAATATCATGAAGGACTATTTGGAGAATAAATAGCAACTGGTTAGTATAGAGGAATACAACTCAGATATCGTATATTTCAAATCAGGGGTACCTCAAGGATCCATACTCGACCCTTTATTGTTCTCTATATATAAATCTGACTCTTCACAATTGTAAGGTGCCTTTATACGCGAATATGGCAGATAATGCTTGTAACATTAACAATGGAGATATAATGAATGTGGTCACCACATGGAGCTGAGATGGAGATCTTCGTAAATCATTCAAGCGAGTAATGATCAATTCTAACGAGTAGAATACTATACTTTTTCTACGATTTATATCAGGAATATTTCAAAATACGATTCATTTGTGAAGTGTAATCCTGAAGAAATTAATATCATTAAAATTCATAACAAAAGCTCAATTCAAATACAAATCTCATTTCCTACTTCAATTAACTTCCTTTAATATCATTCTGATGAGGTATGATGCAGCGACAGTTTCTGAAATTTGATAAAATAATACTTTCGTCAGTAAAAATGTCTATTTTGTCTATTCTCGAACTATCAGTCCACCCTTTCGTAACTGTGTCGTGAGTGTCATACGAAGTTTCATCTAGATAAAAAATTTGCCGTTGTTCTTGTTTATATTCGCAATTCCACTATTCTTCTGCTTTCCATAATTGCTGACGTTATGGCTGGAAGTATTCAATTTCTTCCTTATAATTTCAATTGTAGGAATCTTATTCCTTTTGTAACAGTCATATATTGTTTTTTAATGATTTCATTAGATGAACATCAAAGGGTTTTGGTAATTTCCGTATCACATCGCGTCTTGCGTTCATGAAGTTTTTTTTGGGCTATTTTGGGCTATTATAGTCTCTTTGGCCTCGAAAAGCTATTCCCTGTCGCCCACAAAAAATTACCGTTTCTATTATGGGTTTTAACCTCTCCGCATTATCTTTCGCCTGATTGGCTTTGCCTACATCTAAAGATCTATCTATGGGATTAATCTTCCCTTCTATTACTGTTTTCAAATTGTTGAGAACGATCATGGCGTGTTTGTGGTATTGTAAATGAGAATGTGACTCAAATTTTTTTAACAGCTTTTTTCCAATTTTGGAATCCTTCTTGGACAAGCTGGCCTATTTTCTTGAGGAGGGGGCTACAGCCCCTTAAGCCCCCCGTGGGTGTGCGCCTGACGCATTCTATTGAAGTTTGTAAAAGTGTATAAATATTCCTTCCACTTAGTACTTCTATTATGTATATAGGACTCCTTTTATCATTATTTTTATACATTAACATACAAATCGTATATTGAAAAGAGGTCAGCACGCCTAGTAACTTATGAAAATTTCAAAACTTATCTTGAAAAAAAGTAACATTCATATTTTCCATATCGGGTGGCATTTCTGGGTCATTCTATTATGCAAAATCAGCATACGACAAAAGTAGAATCATATAATCATATCAGTACAACCTAATTCTTTGAGGAAGTAATTTATGCATTGTCGATAACGATGCAAATTAAAGATAATCAATTCAAAACTACCCTTGAATGGATGTATATGAGAACTGGAAACGCATTTTTTTGAAGAGGGCATCAATACATTTCTAGCCGTGAAAGCGACACTTTAACAGATTTCGTGACATCAGATGCAGAAAAGAATTCTAAATGAAATATTTCAAAAATATTCAGACAAAATGTATTTCTGAAGTAATGCCTCCTCTAATTTCACAAGTTATTACTTCATTCAATTGTATCTTTTATAGCAAAACACTTTATTAGGATATGAACTGGATTGAACACA